GCGGTGAAGAAAATTTGATCTTGAAGACGGTGATGACGAGTTGCGTCGCCATCCCCTTAAGTTTACATATTGTTGTAATTTTTTTGAAAATCGATGACTTGAGATTAAAATAGAGTATATATTGTTGTTATTTTACTGTAATAAGTTTGTTGTTAAGCTTATGAGTTGGTGGAGAAGGAAAGTTGTGTGTTGGTTTTGAAGGTTACAAGTTGGTTGCGAAGTTTGCGAGTTAGTTGCTAAGGGCACGTGTTGGTTGTGAATGTTATGAGTTGATTATGAAAAAGTTATGAGTTGGGTGTGAAGGTTACGTATTGGTTGTAAAGGTTACACGTTGGTTGTTAAGGGTACGAGTTGGTTGTGAAGGTTACGAGTTGGTTGTGAAAGTTACGCGTTGGTTGTCAAGATTACGAGTTAGTTGTGAAAGATATGCATTGCTTGTGAAGGTTACGCGTCGGTTGTGAAGGTTATGAGTTGGTTGTGATGGTTACGATTTGGTTGTGAAGGTTATGAGTTGGTTGTGACGGTTACGAGTTGGTTGTAAAGGAAGGTTATGTGTTGGTTTTGAAGGTTACGAGTTGGTTGTGAAGTTTACGAGTTAGTTGCCAAGAGTACGTGTTGGTTGTGAAAAGGTTACGAGTTGGTTGTGAAGGATACGCGTTGGTTGTGAAGGTTATGAGTTGGTTGTGAAGGTTACATGTTGATTGTGAAAGTTACGCGTTGATTGTCAAGGTTATGAGTTGGTTGTGAAGGATACTTGTTGGTTGTGAAGATTACGAGTTGGTTGTGAAGGTTAGTTAATAACAATCACAATCAACTCATTGCCGAGGTTCACAACTAACTCGTAATCTTCACAACTCGAAACATTCACAACAAATCCATAACTTTCACAACCAACGCGTAACCTTCACAACCAACTCGTAACCTTCATAACCAATATGTAATCTTCACAACCAACACGTAACCATCACAACCAACTCGTAACCTTCACAACCAACACATATCATTCATAACCAATTCGTAACATTTTCACAACCAACTTGTAACCTTCATAACCAACATGTACCCTTGGTAACTAACTCGTAAACTTCACAACCAACTCGTAACCTTCAAAACTAACACATAACTTTTCTTTACAACCAACTCGTAACTGTCACAACCAACTCATAACCTTCATAACCAACTCATAACTTTTCTTTACAACCAACTTGTAACTGTCACAACCAACTCATAACCTTCATAACTAACTCCTAACCTTCACAACCGATGTGTAACCTTCACAACCAATGCGTATCCTTCATAACAAACTCGTAACCTTGACAACCAATACGTAACTTTCACAACCAACTCGTAACCTTCACAACCAACGCATAACCTTCACAACCAACGCATAACCTTCACAACCAACTTGTATCCTTCACAATCAACTCGTATCCTTGACAACCAACATGTAACCTTGAAAACTAACGCGTAACCTTCACAACTCATAACCTTCACACCCAACTTGTAACCTTTTTATAACCAACTCGTAACATCCATAACAAACACGTACCCTTAGCAACTAGCTCGTAAACTTCACAACCAATTCATAACCTTCAAAGCCAATATGTAACCTTCCTTCACCACCAACTCGTAAGCTTAACAATAAACTTATTACAGTGAAATAACTATAATATATAAATTTACATACTCTACTTTAATCTCAAGTCATCGATTTTTAAAAAAATTACAACAATATGTAACCTTAAGGGGGTTGGCATGCAACTTGTCATCACCGTCTTCAAGATCGGTTTTCTTCACCGCCAATGACGAACGTCGGGAAAGTTTCACTGTCGATGTCGACGCCATTGGAAAAATTTGGAGGGAACTAGAATTCTCACCCCCACCCCCCATAACCCATTTCAAATCATCACAGTAACATCATGAGAGAGAGAGAGAGAGAGAGAGAGAGAGAGAGAGAGAGGGTTGGCATGCAACTTGTCATCACCGTCTTCAAGATCGGTTTTCTTCACCGCCAATGACGAACGTCGGGAAAGTTTCACTGTCGATGTCGACGCCATTGGAAAAATTTGGAGGGAACTAGAATTCTCACCCCCACCCCCCATAACCCATTTCAAATCATCACAGTAACATCATGAGAGAGAGAGAGAGAGAGAGAGAGAGAGAGAGAGAGAGAGAGAGAGAGAGAGAGAGAGAGAGAGAGAGTATTATGGTCTGCACATATTTTAAACTCTTGGGTTTTGTGTTTTGGAGACTCAAAATATTATGGCTTTGCTTTTGGGGAGTTTTGGGAGTGTTGAAAAAGTCTTGGGGGAGACAGAATACTTGTAAGGAAGTTGGGGCTAGAAGCCATTTTCCCAAAAAAAATTTAAATACTATGAGACCTTAGAACCTCGACGATATATATTATCTATTTAATCCAATCACCTCTATGATTCCATATTTATTAATACACAGCTTTCTTCTATAATGAGGATCACAAACGAAAGGAAAATTATTATATGTGTCTGAAATTATATGAATCATTTCCATTTGATGTATATCTAATCAAATATGATATCAAAGTATAAGTTTGAAATTTATCATAAATGTAGTTTGCATAAACCGCATTGTGATGGAATTATATTGCTAATTTTTCTTTGCCAATTGAATGAAGAAACGTTTTTATATAAGTTAATATAGGATTTTTATTAATTCGATGAATTATGGCTAGGACAAATTTTTAAAGGGACTCTTTTTTCAATTTTATATAGCAAAAACGACCTCATGAGAAAATAATCTGCAAAACCGACCCTTTTCTTCGGTTTTGCAGTTGCGAAGTTTTTCGAGCTACACGGGACTGCTAGTCCCGTGTAGTTCGGCCACGGGACTAGTAGTCCCGTGCATGACTAGTAGTCCCGTGCATTTTATTATTCTCTCGGGATCAACTGTAGAAGAAGAAGCACGAGACTGCTAGTCCCGTGCATTTCAATTGCTGGCCAAACTACACGGGACTAGCAGTCCCGTGTAGCTCGAAAAACTTCACGACTGCAAAACCGACCATTTTCTGAAGAAAATGATCGGTTTTGCAGATTATTTTCTGATGAGATCGTTTTTTCTATATAAAATTAGAAAAAGGTTCCTTATAAAATTTGTCATTATG